TCAACTTGCAGTTTAATGTAAGGTTTATTGTTTGATAGACTTGAAAACAAATAGCCACAAATCAAAATAGTTACCCTTTTCTTAGGACGTCAGTTTCGAGGTGAGGAGTTAACATTTCTGTCTTTTTATGTATAACACTTGTGTCCTTTGAAGGAAAAAAAAAAAAGGAAAATCAACATAAGGAAATCTCTGAGCGTTTTCGATACAGATTTCTCCAAAAGTGTTACTGCTGCCAATTTTTCTCAATGTGTCTCATAATCTTTGTATAATTTATAAATGATAACAAAGAAATCAGGCCACATTCATAAAAGCCCAGTGACACATAATTTAGTTGAATCTGAGGATTAGAATTAATTGTCTCTCTTTGTTCCAAGTTCTAAATCTTAGTAAATGATTCACTGCATGTCATTACAGCTTAATATTTGCATGAAATCACAGTTTAGCTGGCATAATTTAACAGCAATTAAAAAGCTATTTAATCGTCATGCAAATTGGTATCAGGGCCCTTGAGTAAGAAGGGTATCTGCTTTTTAAATTTTTTTGTAAGTATCTCTAGGCAGACAGTTATATACTTGCAAACACCCATAACATAATTGATAACGTTGTTCCTATTCATAGAAATATAAGTGAATAATAATTCATGTTTTCCATTATACATAAAAGACCAGCAATATGAATATGTCATTCTTTAGGAAGACATTATTATGATAATGTTAATTAATTTTATTTCCAAGCCATAAGTCTAGGTTGGAGGTAAAAAGCTACACTTGTTTCTATGTGCTAGTTTATAGTCTCTTCTATGTTTTCCTTTCAAAAGCAAGCACTTACTTCTACAACCTTCTAGAATATGAAATGTCAAACAAAACAGGTTTGCAGCAACCATTTAGGAAAAGCATGCTTCCCATTTATAAGTCTAGTTGTAGGTGTTGTACATATAGGTGACTGAGTTTCCTAGTTTGCAGATGGTTGACATAAGGAACCAACAACAACAAAAAGAAAATATATAATAAAACGTTAATATCATAATAATCCAAATACACAGTCACATAGATTTATGACTAATATCATGTCAGTCTTCTGCCAGCTAACCCGAGGTCCACAGTTCAGATCCCCAAGCCACTCTGCAGAACAAAAGAGGAGGCTTTCTGTTTCTGTAAAGATTTACAGCCTTGGAAACCCTATAAATACAGGATCCTTGTTAAGTTGGAAGTGATTCCATGGTAGTGGGTTTTTTGTTATATTTATTTAACCAATTACCACTCTGCAAACAATGGTCATTGGTGGTTATGTGCTATGGAGTCAGTTTTGACTTATGGCTCATCTTTCTTCCACAGAGTGACTGGAAGATTTGAAATGCTGACTTTCTGGTTCACGGTCCAGCTCATCATATCCCATATGCTACCAGAGCTCTGTAAACAAATAGACTCTTTTTAAAATGCAACACTGCTATATGTAAAATCTGCGAGATTCTTCCAATTGTACATAGAAAAATATCCAGACACATTTTAATAAACCTAATCCTGCTTTGCCTGTTTCCTTCCTTTTTCCTAAAACTCAGACTTCCTCCTTTGGCCTCTACCCATAATGACTTTCTTCCAATTCTGTGACTATTTCAAGATCTTTTTATGTCTAAATATCCAAGTACCTTCAACCCTTAATATTCTTCCAAGCCCATTTCCTTACCACCTTCCTGAGAGTTTCGTTGAATATTACCTGTAGTGGTTGTTGTTAAGTGTCATCAAGTCGGTTCCATTACCTGTTGCTGTTGTTGTTAAGTGCTGTCAAGTCGGTTCCGACCCATAGCAACCCTGTACAGGGTTTCTGAAAAGCAGCTGGTGAGCTTGAACCACCGACCTTGCAGTTCAAATGGCTTTGCAGTTTGGCGCATTAATCCACAGCGTCACACCAGGGCTCATTACAAAAGTACACTGCCTCGTGTTTTTCCCAAAGAGTACCTGGTGGGTTTGAACTGTTTACCTTTCTATTAGCAAATCAGCGTTTAACCCACTGTTCTGCCAGTGCTCTTCTCTGCCACATATTGGTATTATTAATTGCTGTGGAGTAGGTTGAGACTCTTAGTTACCCTGTATAGGGTTTCTAAGGCTGTAAATCTTGTGGAAGCAAAAAGCCTCTTCTGCAGATTGGCTGATGGGCACCAAATGCCAATCTTGTGGATAACAGTTAAGTCCTTATCCAACAGAGGGTGCATGGTGGTGGTGTTTTTGTTGTTAGGTGCCTGCAGTCAGTATCATATCATAGAGACCCTATGCACAGCAGAACCAAACACTGCTGGATCCTGCACCAACCCAGCACATAATAGTCACTTAATAAAGTGTTTATTTCATGAATAAATGACTTCAAATACAAAAGAAATCTTTAGAAATCAAAGTTCATTGTAATAACTTAAATTTCTTTCCGTGGAGATGATCTTGTCCAGAAATTCCTTCCTATGTAAGTCAATTTTTCTGGTTGCAAAAGTTTAGAGAATTAGTTTAGATTTCTCAAAATTAGATATGCAAAAATATGGCAGCAAAATTGTTTCATTAGTTATTTGTACAGGCTTGAATTTTTTCTTCAGTTCCCCAGCTTGAGAAATGCTGAGCGTGTTCTTCCTTTTTGGTTTTCTGATTCCAGATCTTTGCACATTTTATTGTAATATTTGGCTTTATCTTCTTGAGCTGATCTTTGAAATTTTCTACTCAGCTCTTGGACCTCCTCATTTCTTCATTTGATTTAGCATCTCTACGCTGGAGAGCAAGTTTCAGTATCTCTTCTGACATCCTTTTTGACCTTTTCCTTCTTTCTTGTCTTCTTAATGACTTTTTGCTTTCTTCATTTATGATGTTCTTGATGTCATCCCACAACTCTTCTGGTCTTCGATCTTTAGTGTTTAATGTATCAAATCTGTTCTTCAGATGATCTCTCAATTCAGGTGGGATATATTCAAGGTCATATTTTGGCTCTCGTGAACTTGTTTTCATTTTCTTCAGCTTCAGTTTGAATTTGCATATGAATAATTGATGGTCTGTTCCACAGTGTCCCTGACATTGTTTTGGCTGATAATATGGAGCTTTACCATTTTCCCTTTCCACAGATGTAGTCAATTTGATTTCTATGTGTGCCATCTGGCGAGGACCATGTGTATCTGTTATGTTGTCTACAGAAGGTATTTGAAATGAACAAATCATTGGTTTTGCAGAATTCTATCATGCATTCTCCAGCATCATTTCTATTACCAAGACCATATTTTCCACCTACTGATCCTTCCTCTTTGCTCCCAACCTTTGCATTCCAATAACCAGTAATGAGCAATACATCTTGATTGCATGTTTGATCAATTTCAGATTGAAGAAGTTGGTAGAATTCTCCTAAATTTCATCCTCACTGGCTTTAGTGGTTGGTGTGTAAATTTGAAAAATAGTGGTATTAACTGGGCTTTCCTGTAGGTGCATTTATATTATCCTATCACAGACAGCGTTGTACCTCATGACTGATCTGATATGTTCTTTTTCATGATGAATGCAACACCATCCCTCTTCAATTTGTCATTCCTGGCATAGTAAACCATGTGGTCATCAGATTCAAAATGGCTAATACCAGTCCATTTCAGCTCACTGATGCCTAAGACATTGATGTTTATGCATTCCATTTCATTTCTGACAACTTCCAATTTTCCCAGATTCATATTTCGTACATTCCATGTTGTGATTTTCAATGGATGTTTACAGCTGCTTCCCTTCACTTTGAGTTGTGCCCCATCAACAAATGAAAGTCCTGCAGACTTGTCTCCCACGAGCTTTACTCCTTTCAGGTATCACAGTCAACCCTACTTTGAGGAGACAGCTCTTCCCCAGTCGCATTTTGAGTACCTTCCAACCTGAGGGGCTCATTTTCTGGCACTATATCTGACAGTGTATCTCTGCTATTCATAAAGTTTTTAGTGACTAAAGATTCAGAAGTAGTTCATCATTCTTTTTTCCTAGTGTATCTTTTTCTGGCAGCATATCTGAAACCTGTCTAACATTGGTGACCCTACTGGTTATTTAAAATACCAGTGGCATAGCTTTCAGAATCATAGCAACTCACAAGCTACCACAGTACAACAAACTGACAGACGAGTGGTGGCCATTTGGTTTTAAGTGGAAATGTCACTTTAAATTTCGAGGAGATATGTGTGCATGCGTAGTAGAACCCTCCATGGGTGGGGGTGGGGTGTCCATTTGCTCTGGCATCCCCTCTCCGCACCAGAATGGAGCTGCGCAGACAGCGAGAGACCAATGAACAGATACCAAAAAACGAATGTCCACACCTGTATGTATGTATTTATTTATTCTCAAACTGTGGAAAGCAGATTCCTTTATGCCTCTTCAAGTTAATGACTGGATTTTTCATCTGAATACCAAATATACTATTAAGACCCAAAGACTATCACACTATATTCTGTATATAGTGTGGTTCTTTAGGGTAAGCATTGGACTGCAAAACATAAAGTCAGTGGTTCAAACCAGCTGCTCCTCAGGAGAAAAATGAGGTTTTATTTTCCTTAAAAAATTTATAGCCTTGGAAACCCCATACAGGATTGCTGTGAGTTGGCACTGACTCGATTTACTTAACACCAACAATGATAACATTTTTTCCTTCAAGTTTTAAGAATGGTGATGTAAATAAAACCATAACAGAAATTAAAATCATTTTTCTCATTATTTCTTTTTCAGTCAAAATACTGATAAAAATAAAAGCACCATATATATTTAAAGTCTGACGTTTTTATAATAAATAATGAATTTAATATGCCAAAACCTTCAGATATAGACAGTTTCACCACAAACACTTTCCCCTTTATCAGATATTTTTAACTATATTCTCGCTCTGGTTCTCAACAGACGAAAGGGCTCAATTGAATATAAAAAACCAACATGTGTTTATTGATAAACGTTCAGTTTAGAACATAATTCATTGTCCTATACATGTACATTTGTTTTTTAATTGCTTTCCTCTAGGGCCACCTTCAGCTCCTAGGAATGTGATTTTTAACATCAATGAAACAGCCCTTATTTTGGAATGGAGCCCACCAAGTGACACAGGAGGGAGAAAAGATCTCACATACAGTGTGATCTGTAAGAAATGTGGCTTAGACACCAGCCAGTGTGAGGACTGTGGAGGAGGACTCCGCTTCATCCCAAGACATACTGGCCTGATCAACAATTCTGTGATAGTACTTGACTTTGTGTCTCACGTGAATTACACCTTTGAAATTGAAGCCATGAATGGAGTTTCTGAATTGAGTTTTTCTCCCAAGCCATTCACAGCTATTACAGTGACCACAGATCAAGATGGTAAGTTTCACTGCTGTTCTCTCAAAACAGGCCCACTGTTCCCTTTTGATGCATAATATCCTTGATAGGCCTACATTCAAAGATGTTTAACTGTCTACTCTAAACATTGCAGAGGTGATTTTCTGGACCTTATATTTGTTCTTTACCAAGTTACAGATATTTCTCCTATTACTTCTTAGTGGTATGGTTAATTACATAAAATGCTTTTCTCTACTTTATATGCATTTATGTTTTAATATAATCATATGTTAGCATATCTTAATGAGTCCATATTATTGACCAATTAAATTAAATTTCAGGTACCCCACTTATACTGCCATCCTTTTTTCATGTCAGATTGATCAAATAGTACAAATATACTTAATTATAATTCATATCTGCATTGTACATTCCAGATAACGTGCTTAACCTTGATCCACTTTAAAGATAAATAGCAAAAAACAAAACAAAACAAAACAAAAAACAACCTGAAAGTGCTTAAATACAGTTGGTGAAAAGTAGTAAAATTATTTTTTTAAATAATCCTCTTGATTTTTAGTTAAATCTTCTCTTTATAACACTATAGATATTTGCTGCAATGAAGTCAAGCATGAACACTCGTATGAATTTATAAGTATATGGTCTCTTTAATTCCCTATAACATGATTGTATTATAAATCATTCTAGAGGAAAAGCTTCAAGAATTTAAAAATTCTTTTTGAGATGTGTGTATCAAAATGATGTGGAAACACGTATTTACAAAGGTAAAACTATTCCTATACAACAAAGTTTAATATTATATATTAAATACAATTATATTAGCAATATTGTGATACTTTTATCAATAGAAAGGACAGAACTACAGACACAAAGCTAGCTAACTTCAAGGGCACCTGAGTGAAAATATATTTCAAAATGATGCATACTGTATGATTCCATTTATATATAAAATTCATACAATAGCACATATATCAATATAGAAGGGATTTGTAGTTGCCAGGGTTTATAGATTTGTGGTATGAGCAGTAAGGCTATAATGAAATAGCACAAGGAACCTTGTATTAATGGCATGGCTATCTTGAATTTTCTGGTAGTTACATGGAGCTACATAGGTAATAACATTTAAAAGAGCCACACACAAACATGCATACACACAAGTATTGTTATTGGACCACTGTTAGTTTCCTGAATTTGATCTCATTCTATAGTAATGCAAGTAATTAACATTGGGATTGGCTAGATTGTGTGTGTACCAAATATTCTAATAGATTTATTTTGGTGCAAATTCATTGAATATCTAATTATTTTGAAAAAAAAGTTAAAATATTATTAAACATATAAAATATACAAGATAAAACTAATAATATTCAATATGTGAATTGAATTTGAATATTTTATATAAATATTATATAAAGGGGCTTTTAAAATTTCCCCAAAAAGTAGAATTTTTCTATGAACTTTATAAATCCCTTTCATATGTTAGTTCATTTTGCTGAAAATTCTCAGAAATATATCTAATCAGTAAAGCAAAATGAAATAGTATTCTACCATTTTCTCCTTTTTTAAATATTGTTCCTCCTTCTCACTGTTATATGCTGTCGAGTCAGTTCCAATTCATAGTGACTCCATGTATAACAGAACGAACACTACCTATTCTCTCCCTGAGAATCAACAAAATCTTGTCAAATATATCTTCACCATAAAGCAGATTAAGGTCATCTGCTCCTCTATACTTTATCAGATTATGTATAAGCTTTTGCTTGTTCCTAAGAAACTACCATCTGTTCCGTGGGAGAAAGATGAAACTTTCTGCTCCCATAAAGATTTATAGCCTTGGAAACCCTGTGCAGGGTCGCTATGAGTCGGATCAATTCCACGGCACATAACAACAACAACATCTGTTTATAAAATACAACCCAAGTTTAAGAGACATCTTTAACTGCGTGGTATAAAAAATAATTTGGATGATAAATACTATATATCATTTTAAATAAAAATATAGAGAGATATTGTTGCTGTTAAGTGCCATCGAGTCGGTTCCGACCCATAGTGCCCATGTATAGGGTTTCCAAGAAGCAGCTGGTGAGTTTGAACCACTGACCTTGTAGTTTAACCAACTTTGCAGCCTGGCGCATTAACCCTCAACGCTAGACCAGGATTCCTTCAAGGAACGGTTGGTGGGTTTGAACCACCAACCTTGTAGTTCAAACTGACCTTGCGGTCCAGTGCATTAACCCACATATGCAGCAGTCCTCTATTCTAGGATCAGAGGAGCGCTTACTCATCTATTTTTCTGCTTGTTAGAATATTAAAAAAAAAATTTAATTTACACGTTTAATCAGTTTTTAAAATTCATTAAAAGTATATATCCATATGGAAAAATACATATTAAACATGAAACTAGATATACATTCCATTTTCATTAAGTCAGTTCTGGCTCGTAGCAACTATATATGACAGAGTAGGATTGCCACATAGGAGTTTCAAGACTGTTTTATTTACGGTATTAGTCTACCATATCTTTCTCTCATGGAACAGAATTAGATTCAAACTGCTTTTATTTTAAATTAGTAGCTTAGTGCTTTAACCACTGTACCACCAGATTTCCTTGAAATAAGATCCAGTATCCATCATATATTGACACTATACATTCTGAAAGGATAACATCATTAAATACTCCTCTCCAATAATTTTATTTTTGTGAAAAATATTAAAAACTGTTTACTATTAAAAAATTAATTGACTTTATTTTAGATATAAATAGTAACAAAGAATCACAATATATTTAAATATTATTTGAGAAATACACAAAGGTCCTCCCTTGAACTAAACAATTGCCACATATTTTAAGTATATAAATATACTTAAAATAAGGAGCTCTGGTGTGTAGTGGTTACGAGTCAGACTGCTAACCTCAAGGTCAGCAGTTCAAAACTACCAGCTGTTCTGCAGGAGAAAGATGAGGTGTTCTGCTCTCAAAGATTTACAACCTCAGAAACCCTATACAGGGTTGCTGTGAGTGAAAGTTGACTCCACATCATATAACTACCACCACCACATACTTAAAATATGGAGTCCTGGTTTGGTGCTATAGGATAAGCACTCACTCTCAAGATTGGTTTGATCCACAGGGTTGGTGGTTAAAACTCACCAGACACTCCTGGAAACCCTATATAGGCTCACTATGAGATGGAATGGACTCGACTGCCCTTAACAGCAACATACTTAAATATATATATACTTAATAATGACCAGCTTTATATATGTGGGATAAAGATGAAGCTTTCTGCTCTTGCAAGGATTTACATCTTCAGAAATCTTCTACAGGGTCATTATGAGTCACAACAGACTCATTGGCACATACCAACAACAAAGCCTTATATATGAACAGTTACCTTCAATCATGTCAAAACTTTTAGGTACCAAGATAGCTCTCTTTCTGTATGAAATTATGACTATAGTAAATCATATCTTTAAAAATAAAAGCACTCCGATTCAAGGTTAACATCATGGTATAATTCAATATTTGGATGCATCAGCTATTTTTTCATCATACTAGTAGAGGTCAGAGCTGTGTTGGCTAAAAAAGCAACTATGTAAAACAAAATATCCCGAACCAGATGCCACTATCATCCTTACAGATCATAATCTTACTGTTGCAGTTGAAGGAAGAGATTTCTCATCATTCACCAGAGTATCTTGAGAACTATTTCAGTGAATTTGAAAAACAGCTTTCCAAATGTTTAGATAGCACATTGCAATTTTTTTATGCTGAAGGAAAGAAGTTTGTCTCATTATCTACAAGTTGCTTATTTTTTTATACTTAAAATGGAAAAGTGATATTTATATTGAAATTACTCTGAATTTATTCAGTATGTTTTAGTATTCTTCTTGTGTGTAATGATGAATGAGCCCTTATGAAGCATATATATTTGGGAGGAAGATAATAAGCAAATAACTTCACAAATATGCCAGTAGTACTGTGAGAAGTTCTGCCAAGGAGAAAGCCAGAGTCCTCTGAGAGCAGGTCTGCAGAGGACTTCTAGAGGAAATGACATGAGTCTTCTAGAGGATATGACATGAATATTAAGTTCCGTCATGAAGGATAAGTAGAATGTGATTAGGCAAAATTAGTCTAAAACAAGGGAAATCATTTTAAGTAGAAGACACAAAGAAAGGTTAGTCAATTACAGGATATGGAACTTATGACTAATGTGCCAAGAGCCTCTACATGTATTGCAGAGGTACAACAGGATTTGAGAAATGAAGTCTAAAACTTACAGAAAAGAATGGGTGTCACCAAAATAACAAAGACAAGTTAGGGAAGTAGCTGATATATTTTTAAGGTAACAGAGAAACAAAAATCATCATCATAATAACAGTGTCCATGAGCTGATACCTGCAGAAGTTGTTAGTTGTCATCTTCTGACTCGTGCTGATCTCATGTATGCAGAGTGGAGCTGCTTTATAGGGCTTTCAAGGCCTTGACACTTCCAAATCATATAACCAGGCTTATCTTCTTAAGATGCCACTTGGTACAGAAATAAAATTTTAGATTTTACTGACTGGGCTGTTACTGTCCTATGGAAAACTGGTGTGGTGCTGTAGGATAAGCAATGGATACTAACCACAGGGTCCAAGGTTCAAACCCACCAGTCCCTCTTCAAAAACCCTATACAGGGTCACTATGAGTCAGTACCAAGTTGATAGCATTTGTTGTTGTTAAGTAATGTTGAGTTGGTTTCGACTCATAGCATCCCTATATTGGGTTTCAGAAGAGTGGCTGGTGAATTTGAACCATCGACCACGCAGTTCAAACCAACCTGGAAGTCCAGCACTTTATCTTACAGTGCCACACCAGGACTTGGCAGCACTAAACAACATCAATTCTATAGATGCATAGTGTGAAACATGGTATATATATAGAGAGAAGTGTACATTACCATACCTTTCCTTTCATGTATTTGACTAGATGGGTAGATGGATGGATATATATGTATAAGACACTGCAGGATAATCCA